AGTATGCAGTCGATGTGCTAAAGCTACTCCCGTCTTTTACTCGGTGAAGCAGCCAAAAGAAACCCGGCTTAAAGGCCGTGCGCAGTTTGACAGATTTGAAATCACAAGAGCCGATCCAGGCAGAAGTCAGGGTTTTCTTTAAAACAACGGAAAAAAATAACATAAATTTGCATTGACAACAGGAATCCAGGCCAGGAAATGAAAATTTGCGGGGGGGGGGACTTTGCGTCTGAAAGGTTACGTTATTATTCCAGAATGTCACGACAGAACCCCAGACATGATAAGCTGGCCTCTCCCATTTATAAACCTTTTAACTAGAATGTGTTTGCCTTCGGTGGGAGATAAAATGTGACCAACTCCTCTTGGTTTTGGATTGTGGATGAGAGCTAAATGTTAGCTCATTGTGGCAGCCTCAGAGGGGTTAATCGGAGGGTCTAGTCTGCCGGACCCATTTGGATAGAGAAGATTCCAATTCACTTCATAAATCGACTTCATGATGGAGAGTCCTAGCTACCCTAACCTGTTCATAAGTCAAATGCTGAAAGGGACAAACGCTATTGGAAACAAATGGGCTGCATAAGTATTTCAATCATCATGAAAAGTCCAGAGTCTCGTATCAAACACAAACATGTCAAACATTAAAAAATATCTGAATTGATAAAGAAATACGGTTTTACACAGTCAGAATGTAAACGTTGACCTTTGATACCTTAATATCTCTTGACATACGACAAGGTATCCAAACGCTTGAGAGTTTTTGTGAGGTTTTCGATTGATGCCCCAATATCTACAGTCAGTTGTCCACAGAATCTTTGGAAGCTCCCAAAAAACATTAATTAATACATTTAAAAAAACTTTAGATGATAATTTCTAATAATCCAATCCCAAAAATACTTCCAGGCAAATGGAATATTTTCCTGGGGTCACCTAGCATGAGATGATAAAACCATGACTACGGTGCGGTACGATATACAGGATTCCTAGGGGCCTTTTATATGAGTTCCTACCCAACCCTGCTTGCCTTGACTAAAACTCACCAATGCTCGGTTTAAGTAGTTGTCTATTACAACTGAAGTTGTAACCGTGACGTCATTTGTACGCAACGCAAACATGAGACGCTAACGAAGGGTTAGCGTCGGTTTTTAAAAACCGGCGGGATTCTCGCGAAGGAGCCGCTTTCCCAATCCCTCTAGCCACGTGACTCCCCGCACTCCTTAGTCAGCTCGCCTGGCTCGCTTGGAATCCTGACCAAGCAGGTGCTAAAATTGGAGCTTTTAACTGCTAATAAATATGCAAAAACACTAGTTGAGTCATGCTGATTGGATACTGGTGGAAAAAGGGCCAAATGAGGAATTTGTCGTGAAGGGTTAGGGTTCTGCTGGAACCCCGCAATCCGACCAGCTCATTCTGCTCTCTAAAGGGCCATGTATCCAACCTCCCTTTCCCCAAGCTAGGAACCTCTAGGTCCAGCTGCTGCCAAGCGAGCATTAAGCAGTTAACTCAAGCGACGGAAACAATAGAAACGAGTATTCAAGCACTGACTAGAGACGCATGACACTGGATCAGCAAAATCCAAGCCTGAAGAATGTCGAGCCTTACGACCCTAGAGCCGCACGTATTACCTTAAACTGCACGGGCTGGTTTTTGCGGAAACAAGGGCCGACGTTCGGGCTTTTATCTGGCCTCGCATCTCGTTTCCTCTCGCTAAATTATCGGCGCAGGCAAGAAAAAGGACGAAAATATCCAAAATTGCCCTCATGATCCCGGCGAGCTGAGAAGAAGAGTGGTGATAAGTAAATACAGAGCAGCACACACATACATACAGATGCAGCAAACATCACACACACCCTGCCACCCAGCATTTATTCTCACACACACATACACACACACATACACACAAACACACACACACAGGGGATGTTTTGAGTGCCCTGCAGTGCGAGGCAGTAGGGGCCCTGAATGAAAACATGCTGGTAGAGATGTATCAAAGGTTTGTCCACTCATGGCAGAAAAGGGGCATGTTGATCCAAGACCTAACTGTGGCTTTCGTCCTGAGAAAGAGGCCTGTGCTTAGCTTGGCACTTTCTGCCAGCAGCTCTAACTGAAGGCTAAAGTTTTAGGTTATGCGCTGGTGCCCCTGGCTCAGTTTGGCTGTTTGGGAGCTTTGTGTTGATGTCTGCTGGCTTAAGGGCAGAAGTGGAGCGGGATGAACGCTACGGGGATATTACGGCGACTCTGCAGAGTGTTCTTTTTCTTTTTTTGCAACTTTGTGCTAGCTGATCACCACTTTTCACTTAGGAGGCTCTCATAAATCCAAGTTTGAGTGAACCAGAATCAACAAGCAACTAGCCGGTGTTTGCACTTGAAAGGGTTTGTTTGACTTAAATAGGATTATTTTTCAGAAACTATAACAGTTGCTCTGTTGGCGTTGGTCATATAAACACTGTAATACAAACCGAGACAGACTGACATAGAACCACATATTTGTTGGTTGTTGATATTAAGAATTTCCGACACTGTTTGACTCAAAAAGACTAATAAAAAACAAATACAAAAGACAACACATTAAGGCTACCTGAAACCAACTAGCACATTTAGCCAACAAAGCAGCATGCTAGAACCACATCAATTTAAACCTATTTGACGAGTATACTAAATAAATATTCTGATAGATTAAACAGGAACTCAAAAGGCCTCTCTAAACTGTATAGCTATGCTAGTGGCTAGGTATGAGGTCAAGACATGGCTCCTTCCTTGTTTGAAGATAAAGTAGCATTGGATAAAGGCTAATATGGGTCACGGTTTAAAGTGTGAGGCTCTGAAATAAAATGACACCAACTATTATTCACCCGATCCCGAATGAAGAAATTGTCTGTTTCGTGCGGTGCCGAATTAAAGCGGCACCAAAAACCTCCCCAAGATAACCCAAAGATACCAAAACGTGACTCGGCTAAAAACAGAAGGAGGCTAGGAAGTGTGAAAAAAAATCCCCTCTTCACACACACACGCACATTCATACAAACAAACAGGATCCACTTCTCTCCTCTCGGCATCTGTGCTCAATGGAATTGAAGTTATGGCCTCTGGCTTGAACCCAAGTGCCCCACAATGCACTTTCTTCCCTGCTCCTGTTTAATCAGCCTCTTCTTGCTTCGGCAGCAGCTTTTGGCTGTTGTTTACAAGCCCTTCGGGCATAATGGGCGTCCACCTCGATCCATCACCGTGACAGATGGCCCTAATTATAAAAGGTTATAGTCTTAATGTACTTATGCTGCGGTGGTCATTTTCCTCTCCCACAATTTTTGGTTAGACTGATAAACGGGGCATCCTATCATCATAGAAGGAGTTACTTTTAACCCAGCCGGCTTCGTGCTTTTATCTTCACCACAACCTCTCTTATAGCTGGTTGCTACTTTTCTTGATGATTGATGCCTTTGTTCGCCGTTCCTTCTACTCCTGCCTCGAGCTCTCTTGTCTTCCCACATTACCTAAAACAGCAAGTATTGATCATATAGCCTTATATAGTGATGTCATCTAAAAGGGACTCTTTTTGAGAGAACAGTCAGTATCTCTACCCATCTTCTCTGGTTCACCCGTAAAATAGGGAAGCTTGCTAATTAGCCTGGTCATCAATCTGTCCTCTTATCTTCTCGTCTGACCTCGTGTGAAGGGATGCCACACTGTCAGAACGCAAAGACGGCCCAGATTGCACTCCGTAAAAGGGCGGCCGGTCTATATTCGTGGAAAGTTACCTGATGTTTTATTAGGGAAAAGCTAAAGCTGGATCAAGGTTTTATTTGCTGACCAGCGAAAAACCACGAGGAACGCACGCTCCTTTGGACCAGCAATCTACCGAGGGGACTAGCATGGACAGATCGCTAAACATGGAGGGAAAACAATGAGAATTTTTAGACGTGTCATTTCTGTCAACTTGTTGCGTTTCCAGCCAGGGGAGTTCAAACAAAGCCGCGACTCTCCAGTTGCTATGCATCTGTGTGAACAGAAAAAAACGTTCTGGCTGCACGTCTCCAGTCAGGCCGAGCGGCCGAGCGGCGAGAACGACGAGGCGGGAGCCGAGAACAAAGGGCGCATGTTGTCACGCGATGACCAAATCGTCACTTTTTGCAAATCGTTTCTAAATAAATGTTTTTGGAGGTTTATTTCAGAAGGTTGGAATTCTTTTTGACACATCTGTGGCTGCAGCTGGAGACACATCCTCCTCAGTTTGCCCCAGTTTTGGGGCAAAATGGCACCACAAGAAAGAAGAACTTGCATCATTATTATGAGGAACTTACACGATTTTTTTAAGCTTATGTTTGACAGAGTACATTTTGTACGCTCAACCTAACTACCCGAACGTCTATGAGCATCTTTTCCAAAGTGACCCCTTCCGTCGTCCCGGCGGGATATCGCTCAGCGGCAGAACACGGTTGTGGCTGTGTGGAGACATGTAGAGGCAGGCCAGGGAAAAAGATTCGGAGAAGAATTAAAAAACAAGAGGCAGGAGGAGGCAGAGGAGTGATACGATCTTCGAGGGCACAGAGACGGGGATTGTGTTCGCTTTGGCCGGCCAAACAATATATTAACATTACTCCTCATTCTTTTGCATTACAGGAAGTGCGTTTCCATCTCGGGGAGAGATAAGGGCCCAAAAAACCTGTGCTGACCACCGGCAAGCGGTGTCGGCTGGAGACCAAAAGACGGGGGGGGGGGGACGGAGACCTTCGAGAGACTCTGAGAAAGGTATTCTCAGGATGTCTCGTGCCGTAAACAGACCTTGGGAGCTGACCTTCGGAGCTCTGGGAGCCGAGGCCGCGTCCTAACAAAACAACTCTCCCCGGCGTTCTGCGCCGTCGACGATTCGCAGACAAAGAGAAGCGCGGGCGGAAAAAGTTTTCCTGCACTGGTGTGCCTGGGCGATTGGGATCTGTGGCGGCCCCCCCCCCGGCGGGAGGAACCCAGGCGCTGCTTTGGTGGTGTTAGCGGAGGGAGTAGAACCTTTAGCTGACTCTGCGTGTAGCTTAAAAACACTTGAATAGATGAGAAAAGACATCCCTCGGCTTCAGAAAGAGGAGATAGAAAAGCTTAACAGCAACATGACTCTCTGCAGTCACTTTAATCATAAGGTTCAGTACATTTATCTATCTATCTATCTATAGAGAGAAAGAGATAGAGAGAAAAAGAGAGAGAGAAACAGAGATAAATTTAAACAACTTAAATTGTGTGTTGAACAGTTGAATGAATGAGTCTGCAGATTTGGGAAACTTACTATTGTTGGACTTGAGATCCCGGTGGATGACCGGAACGATGGCTTCGCTGTGCAAGTACAACATCCCCCTGGCTATCTGCACGGCCCAGTTGACCAGCACGTGCGGCGGGATGCGGCGCCCGGCCAGTGCCCGGCTCAGCGGCCCGCCCGAGGCGTACTCCATGATGAGGCAGAGGTTGGGCTCCTGCAGGCAGACGCCCTGCAGGGCGATGATGTTGGGGTGGGTGAGCATAGCGAACAGGCGGGCCTCCTGCATCACGTTCTGCGCCGTCACGCTGATGTCCTCGTCCGGGTCCTGCCTGGCGGCCTTCACCGCCACCAGCTCGCCCCTCCACGTGCCCCGGTACACCTTGCCGAAGCCCCCGACGCCGATCACCTCCTCCAGGCTCAGTTCCCGGAAATCCACCTCCTCGGGCTCGAAGTCGCCCACCACGGCCTGACCCAGCTCGCTGACCACAGCGCTGCCGGGCAGCTTGGTGTACCCGCTGGGCTTAAAGGAGCCGTAGTTGGACGGGAAGATGCCCACCTTGTTGTTGACCTTACCTGCCCACCAGCCCTCGTCCCCCGAGATCTCAGAGTCCAGAGAGAGGACCTCCACCAAGTCGCCTTTACGCAAGGTGAGTTCATCCTTACAGGACGCCTCATAATCAAACAAGGCGGTCCACACAGGGTTTGTGAAGTTCCCTTTTTGGGATTGATCCAAATTTTTCCAGTTCGACAGCGGGCCACGACTGAATATGTTCTTCAGGGGCTCCATGGAGCCTCGAGCAGATGTTTTGACTGGATCCAACTTTTCACCCCAGGGGTCTGAAAATAAAGTACAAAGGAGTACTTTATTGCGCCTCGCTCCTTTTCCTGTCTTTCTTGTTGGATCATCAGGGACCAATGAAAAGTGTTCAAAAAACTGGACCAACAACCGGGAAGCGGGAGAGGGTTTAAAGACAACTGAAAGTCAGGTGTCTTTCATTTGCCCGAGATATCAATTTCAAAGTTCTCCATTTGTGGGGGAATATCTTCACAGCGTTTCTCCCAATCTTTCAAATCTCAGAAAAGACAGCACAATCGCCACCAAGTTCTCTCAGTTTGAGTGATGTGGTGTGCGGTTTGCATACGCAGGCTTTGTGCAAAATATAATTTCACCGGCCTATATTCAAAGGCTCTAGAATCACCTCATTATGGTTGATTTTGCACGTCCTAAATTCTCATTCTAAACTACCACCTGTTGAGCTCTGATTTCCAAGCGGCGGTTTTCCTTTACGGCAGTAAAATCGCCCAAAGCAAGGCCGAACAACACGTTTAAAGGCCGATTTTGCAACTCGTAATCAACATTCTCGCATTTCTTAACGGTCCATTTTGACTTTTCGTGTATTTTTAGCCATTAAATGCAGTTGCCACCACAAGCAGGAAGCGCTGAGAAGCGGAGAAGAATGGCAGGAAAGGAGCGTTCGGTCCAGCCAACCAGTGTTTTACGACGAGTTTCTGCACTGACCGCTTCGCATTATTGAGCCCGAATATCGAACAACTGCGTCTGAACGCAACATTACGGCGCCCCACCAGGAAATCCCGCATCCCCTTCCACTTGACTATCCATGCCTCGCGGTACCACACGGAGCACGTACTGCGACGAGCTTTTTCACAACATTAAAACTTATCAACCCCCCGAGTTTGTTACAGGAAGAGCTCTCCAAACCTGCTCCACTCAACTTTCCAAAGAGATACACGAAATAAAAAGGAATAGCAAAGGGGAAAAATAACATCCCGTTAGAATCCCAGCGGGAGTTCAGCGAGTAGAATGTTCCATTTTGGTGTTCCTATTGATACAGTCGGTATCCCAACGGCGTAGCAACTCCATCATAACTTATAATTACATTCCTCTTCCTCGGTCAGCGCTCACTCGCAAGGTCCTCGAACCACTTCAACGTCGCTGCTTAGAGGCAGTGCGGAGGGTGTGGTTTCAAAACTTTTTCTGTCCCAACAGGAAGACGGTCAGATGATTGTTCCCGGCGAATGTAGACAAAATAAATGTCGCTTCCGGTTGGAAGTATCACAATAAAACCTGTGCGAAAGAGCCTTTCTGTATTGGCCTTCATCAAACGCCAAAAAAGCGTGAGTGTTCAAGAATTAAACCGTTAAAGTAGAATATTGTTGTTTTATTTTGGGTTCAAGATAGGAACTCTTTTCCAAGGCCGATCCACAAGTAATCTTCTAATGGTTTTGTTGATCTTATGAGCTATATTTGAAGTATGAAAGAAAGTGGTGATCATCTGTGACCATACAGAGGTTCTTCGTTTGAATTTATCCACCAGGATTTTGGCCTGCTAATCTACCCATATTCTTTATGACAGATGAGAAAGGGTGTGTGAGACTGCATATTTTGGTATTCATCCAATACCAACTAAAAATGGGCGAATATCACTGATACCAACACTTTTCGAATAAATAAGATGGATGGGTCATCGAATTGCCAAATCTCAAGTGTTTTTTTTAGTGAAGTTTCCTTTCTTATTATTAAATAGTTAAAACTCAGGACAGAATTCGGACAAAGTTTATAATTAGATAGAAATAGCTTTATTATCTTTTTTTTTAATGAAAAATCTTGAATTAAAAGTAAACAAATCAACCAGTAAACAAATCAAAACAAACTAGCACTGTTGAGAAACTACAAAACTAAAATTCAACTAAAATTCTAGACAACAAAAATAACCCAAGTTGGCAACCCTAGGGGGAGCAAAGTGGGCCCGCTCTGGACGGACACGGGAGCAACGAGTCCGGTGACCTAGTGACCTGGCCGTTTCCTCTTGGTCAAACCACAGCATTGCAAACAAGATTCCTCTCGGTAAAGAATCGATCTCTCACCAGGCTGGGTGTCGATACTATGGATATTTGGATCGATCCGCCCACCACTAGACAAGACAAATGCACCGAAAGCATAACTATAAGCCCCCCCAATACATACATACATATAAAGATACAGTACAAAAAAGTTCTTGGATCTTTTCTGAAGTGTTCCCACAGCCTCCGCCTGGATAAACTCACATGCTAATCCATCTGTAACCTTTAAATAATCCTGGTAATTTCAACAGAACTACAGTGTGTCCTATTGTGCATATGACAAAGCATTTACAACTTACGAAATACCCCAAAAGTAGTGATTTTTTACTGGATTTGATCTAGTCGACCCCTGGTCACACTGGGTTCCCAGGTCTTTAATTGTAAAAGACAGTGGCTGGACAGGACGGGGTAGGAATCGGAGGACCACCTTTGGCCCCGTTGGCTGCTGTGTGGAAACAGTGCGCTTCCTTCTGATGGCTCGCCTTCCCTTCACTCCCCCTCCCTCCCTCCCTCCCTCCCCCCGCCCCCGCTATTGCAGTTTGTTTGAACACCAATCCAAAAGTCAACCACCTACACCCCAATCCCACCCTCCTACATCCCCACGCAGACACAAAAACCCTAATCCCTCCACCCTCTTCGCAGTGCGCTGAGTCAACGATTGTGGAAGGAAGGATGGGGTTGTTTTTTTGCGATCTGGGATCCAAAGCGCTTGGCCGGGGAGGTGGGGGTGTCCATTTCAGACAGCAGAATGAACTGGTACGGAGCAAAAAAAACAAAGATAAAGAGAGAGAAACAAAGCCCAGGGCACACACATGGGTGGGAATGGAGGGGGGGGTGCAAAGTGTGTCTGAAAATAAGGAAACCATGATGGTAACAATCACCTCTCTGTGAACACCTTTCCGAAAACCTGTACAGTCTTGCACTTATCTGATACAAATACCAGGAGGAGGCCGCAATGCTGACAAATAGAAAAACAGCTCTTGTGTTTGAGGCCGCGTGAGTCACGGGACAGCTCACAAACATAAGTTATATCCATGGGAAAATGCTATTTTGCAACTTCTAGAACAGAGGCACATCAGAAGGAGGCACGAATGCGAGACAGGACGACGCAGCATGTGATTTTAAGAGTTGTGAAACTCAAAAATAAAGGGGGAAGAACTTGGATCGTTTGGCCGAAAGGATCCAGCTGCTTTCAAAGTTTGCCTTGAAAAGAGCCGGTTCACTTCCCGACTACTCCGGCTTCGTTTTCCAACGGGGGGACACACACTCCAGCGGCACTTTTAATTGAAATATGAACTTTATTTCACCCATACAAAATAAAAAGAATGTTAAAAGTTTACAATACATTTTTAACTGCTCACAACCATTTCATAACAGACTGACACACAAATGGTCGCCCCTTCTCTGCTGTCATTTAAAACAATTTAAAAGAGGAGAACAAATGCCGATGAGAAAAAAAAGGAGCCAAATTTGGAGGGGAAGGCTGCAAAAAAAAGAAAAAAAAGAAAAAGAGAAAGCAATGAACTTTAAAAACAAAGTCAGAGCCCAAGAGTTGCAGTGTACCGTACGCATCTCGCGGATGATTTGGGGAGAAATTCATGTTCATATAAAATAATACACGTGCTCCAACTGTCAAACCGACAGCGTCAAAGACCAACAACGAAAAATAAATTACTGATTAACCTGCTGATGTGGTTGAATTCAGGGTGGATGAGGTTTGTGGTTCTCTTGATAAAAACATGAATTGGGAAATAAAAGCTAATTCGAAAGGAAAAGCGTGGCATGGCTTGCTAGCCCAGAGTAAAAATACGCCCGTTTCCTGGTCTAAATCCGCCAGGTAACGAGGCCGACAAGGTGAGGCGGAGCAGGGATAACACATCAATGTAACACTTTCGGCGGCGAGAACACGACCTCCTTCCCATTCGACAAGTGCTAACCGTCCCCCCCCGAAAAAATCCTCCACAAACGGGTGGCCCTGAACTCATCGTCTTAGCTGGGGGAACCAAAGGCTGGAATAAAGTTCGGATGAGCGTTCGTGGAATTCGTCCAGCCAACCTGAGGGTCAGAGAATCTGATATGTTCGCTTCAGAAGATCTAACGGGGAGAGTTGAAGGAAAAAAAATAAAAAAATCAGAAAAGTGCCCCGGGAAAAAAAAAAAAAAAAAAACAACAAACCCCCCCCCCCCCCCCCCCCTGGGGGGGGGGGGGGGGGGGGGGGGGGGGGTCACAACAAAAACGGTGATGGCTGCCACTTTAACAACCTGGATCCAAAAAAAAAAGAAGAAAAAAAGAAAGAAAGAGACTTGTTAAAAAACATCCTTGATGAACTCTTTTCTAGAATAAAATAATCCTTTAAAAAAAAAAGAAAAAAAAGGAAAATTAAAACACATAATATACAACTTTTGTCTCTTACAGCTTTTTTTTTGTTTTTTTGTTGTTAATGGGCTGCAATGAAGAGTCTTTCCCGCCTCTGGCAAGAGCAGCGCCAGTTTGACAATTTGAAAATAACGTCAAATATTCTGTATGCGTGCGTGCGCGCGCGCGCGCGCGCAAGAGAGAGGGATTTGACTGAGGGGGTGGGGTCAACAAATGAGGGGTCAAAGGGAAAGGGGGGGGAGCTAAGAATCGTAGTCTTCGTCGTCGTCGTCGTCGTCCTCGTTTTTGTGCGGCACGGGGGCTGGGGGGGGCGGCGCGTTGCTCAGCATGGAGGGGTGCGGAGCGAAGGCCATGCCGCCTGGAGGCTGAGCGGGACCCAGGCCGCCCACGGACGCCATGTTGCCCGTGTGCATGTACTGGGGGAGGGCGTTGGAGCTGCGGGGGACACGGGGAGGAAGGTTACAGTGATGTACACCTCGTGTGTGATTCTCAGACAGATTTCGTGGGGTCATCGGAGGAAAATATCACCCTTTTAAAACATTTAAACTGCTGAATGCATTACTTGAAATACAGACTCGTTAAAAAAAGTACTCAGCCTTTAAGGTCCTTACAGCATTGAAATGGGGTAAATACAACCTCAAACTGTAAATATTACTTTGTGTCACAAATAATCGTGACAAACTACATGAAAAACATTATAAGTAGCTACTAGTGCAGTGAAAATAGGTAAAAATAAGACTCAATAACTTGAGTCTCGTGACAGCAAAACCAGCCCATATGACCATCACTCCACCACTGTGCCACTGAGCTAACATAAGGACATTATTTTAAAGTCTACGGATATCTAGCCCGGTCAGCCATGTTGTCTTTAAGAAAGAAGAGGACTTTTTTCCTGTAATCCTTCTAACCAACCCATACCTAATCCACTTTTTTTTTATGGACTGTCATACACTTTCACATTTAACATGCAAACTGAGGCCCCATACAGTCTGAGGTGTAACTGGACGGCTAAAAGTTGGGGTCAACTTGCTGGGATTCCCTCTCCTGGGAAGTCTGTTTTATAGTTTGAAGGTGAGAGTCTGAAGGGCTGAAGGGCAGCACCATTTCATCCTCAAAGATAATCTTGTTGGCACATGAATGCTCCTTACATTAGCAGCTACATAGTCTATTAGTTGCTGAAGTAGAAGTGAGAAGATAATTATTATATTATTCCTATATATATATAT